TCGTCCGATTAAGAAATGGGAAGGAGTAAGAGCAGATAGGTCAGTGGGATCAGATGAGAGAGGGTTGAGTGGACGGGAATTCAAAACGGCTTCAATTTGAGTTAGACAAGTGGTAAGTTCCTCATATATAAAGTGAGTCATTTGCATCAAGCGCCTAAGATGATATTTTGTCGAACGAATCGCTGCTTCAGCAATGCCGTTGAAATGTGGAGAATATGGAGGGGCAAAGGAAAATTTAATACCCTGCTGAGCGGCCTCCGACGGGAGGTTTGAAGTCTGCAAAAATTGTTCCAACTCGTTGGAAACTCCAACAAAGTTCGTTGCATTGTCTGACAGGATGGACTGAGGTTTGCCCCGACGAGCCACGAAACGGTTCTAGGCTGACATGTAGCCTTCCTTAGACAGATCTGTAACAAGCTCAATATGCACAGCCTTGACTGCAAGGCAAACAAAAATACACACATACGATTTTATAAGCTTACACCCTCGTCCTTTCCGGTCAGCTATCAGTATAGGTCCGGCATAGTCGACACTGCAATGTAAAAATGGAAATTCTAAGTTGATACGAGAAATTGGTAATTGTCCCATGACAGGCTGTATAGTTGTATTTTTATACCTGAAACATTTTAAGCAATTTCTTACGATTATTCTAGAAAGATTTCTGCCCCCTAAGGGCCAATATAATTGACGTATATTTGCTAAGAGCAGTTGAGGTCCTGCGTGCAATAAATCTATGTGATATTTCTGAAATTATATTTTAGTAACGTGATGTTTACTACACAGCAAAATAGGATGTTTTATATTATATTCGTAAGATGAGTTTTCAAGCCTTCCGCCTACACGTATGATACCGTCACCGTCTATGAACGGACTCAAAGACGAAAGTCTATTCTTACGAGGTAATGATTTACCCTTTTTTAACAAAACGTATTCGTCGGGAAACATTTCAATTTGAGCGTTCTGCATTACGCTTTTTAAGGCTTGATCTAATTCATCCTTAGTAGGTAAACCGGTTCGTTTGTTATTTTTGTTTTTAAGATTATATACAAAACGTTGCACATATGACATTACTCTTATAAGACGATTGAAGTTAGAAAATGTATTTATTAAAGATCGAAAACCTGACTCGCGATTCAATCCAGCTGGATTTAATAGTTGTGATGCGTTGTAATGGCAAGTGGATTCAGAAGATAGCAAAACCTTTTCAAATTGTTGTCCAGATCTCTTATAGACAAGTTACAAGAATGCGTAAAATTTGATGTTGTCTGTATCGGTAGTTGGCCTGTAACAATCCAACCTAATTTTGATTTGACTAACTTAGGCTTGTGTTTCCCTAGGTTAATTGATTTATTGCATATAACATCCCAGAAAACTTCAGCCCCAACGAGAATATCGACCACTGACGGTATGTTAAACGTAGGGTCAGCTAGATGTAGATCTGCGGGCATCGAAAGTTGACTGACGTCTATTAAAGTAGAAGGAAGTATTTTAGTTATCTCCGGTAATATATAACAATCTATATTCGTTCTATACCTACAACACTGGGACTGGATTGTTAGGTTGCAAGCTTGGGTACTAGTTAACGATTGATTATTAATGCCATTAATTTCAGAACTTACGGAACGTGTAGGTAATTTTAGCTTACTGCATAGCGACTGCGTTATAAAGTTAGCCGTACTGCCGTTATCGAGTAGAAGCCGTGCGTCCATGCTGTTGCCGTTGTCGTCAATCACTTTCACCATAGCTGTGGACAGTAAAACATGCGAAGAAGTAGTAGGTTGTATGGGAGTATTACTTGACAAAGCGATATTATTTTGATTAGCGCAAGCAATGGATGATGAAGAATGGTGAATAGGCAATGCGACACTAGAACTACTAGGCATCGGGTCTTGAAACGAAGTAGGCTTAGACTCTTCGGTGTGCAAAAGAGTATTATGTTTACTATTGCAATACTTACAATGCGTTAATCGACATCGCTTAGTACCGTGCCCGGGACGTAAACAATTAAAACATATTTTTAATTCCTTTGCCTTTTTTAATCGTTCCTCAACGGTTAAACTACGAAAATGTTCGCATGTAAATAAAAGATGATTTTTTGAACATAAAGGACATGACAAATTATAAGATTTTATGTTGTTATTTTTTGACTGTGCAAAGGAACGACTATTATTTATGTTTGATGCGACTATATAACTGTTATGTTTTGAAATTGTTTTATTTATATTTGTACTTTGTTTATTTTCTATAGTTTCCAATAAATCAGCTTTGTTACTAATAAATTCGCAAAATTGTTGCAAAGATGGTGGTTTCGATAAGCCATTACGATATTCTTCCCAATGTCTGCCGGTTACGTCGTCTAATTTGTTTGACATAATGTAAACTACAAGCGTATCCCAATGTTGCGTCGGCTCGTTCAATGTTTTTAAGGCTCGAATATTTTTGTTAATTGTATCAAAACGACGTAAACAAAGACTCGATTCTTTAAAAACCTGTTCAACATTGAACAATGCCTGCACGTGATTATGCACTAATTGACGACTATTGTCATATCGATCACATAGCAACTGCCACGCCATTAAATAATTGTCGCCTTTAAAATCTATATTTGAAATAATGTCGAGCGCCGCACCTGAGAGCGAGGCGCGCAGATAGTGGAACTTGCTTATATTATCGATAGAAGCACTACTATGAATTAATGATAAAAATGTGTCCCTATACTCAAGCCAGCACTGATAACTACCATGAAAGCGAGGTAAATCAATTTTGGGTAAGCGAATAAAATTGCGTTGGAATGAGTCACCTGCTTGTTAGCATATCGAGCCTGCAACAGAGCGGCCATCATCCGTTGCACCTTCACGGCACAACAGACTACGCGCTTGCGCCATCAGCGCGTAATAACGCTCTTCGAATTTTGAACGTTCCTCATATTCGTCCTCTGGCTTGTCGGAACACACCTCAATCTCCACCTGTAATTCATCGAATTGATCGTATAAGGCCTCGTATTTATTTAGTCGACATTGCAATTCATGTTGAAATTCGGAAATTATACCAGAAGCGCTAATTGAGCTAATATAATTAGAAAAATTTGTAAGCTTGGCTTTCATGCCACTACGTTTTCGAATTAAAACATCTAGTTGGGCCATTATTAAATTAAAAGGAAAAAATTATCGATAAGTTATACGACGAAGAAAAAAAAATATAATGTGGGTACTTTACTATTTAGTAATTAGTCGCTCGTAAATGCGTAAGCGTGAAATTGAACAATTATATTAATACAATAGGAAGCCAATTGAAGAGGATTTAGAAGGGAAAATATGGAACGAACTCACTTTATCTTCCCTTGTCCACACAGTACTTCCTTTGTCTTGATGTTCGATGTTTGATTCCGACGACCGTTGAGCCGATGTCGCGATAATTTGCTGCACTCCGTTCGCTCCAAACGTTTTAAATTAGCGGACTGTATTTTTGTTGATTCTTGAGGCTCGATGGACCATTTGTTTAGGCCAAACACAAGTATTTGGTTGTAATGGTTTAATAAGCGGTAAATACAGAGTTGCAAATAGACAAATTGATCGTTGCGCGTATGCATCGGCGGTCGAAAGCGGAAGTCCAAGTGACGTTTCGTGCCACCGCACGTCGGTTCGCACCGGTAGTGGTGTTGCCCGCACCTCAGGCGCGAACATTACAACTAAAGTTATTATAATAATAACTGAAAGACATCCAGAACAACAATCGTGTGTGCAGTCCATTTGTAATTTCTCTAGACAAATTGTAAAATAATAGCTAAATGCAATGTCATATATTAAAACGCAATGATGTTTTTTTTTTAATTTAAAGATTTTAGGTCTTGTTTTTCTAACCGTACTGTATTATTATAATTTTGTGCTTATAATAAGGAACTAGGAATCTGCAAGAGCGTTCAAAGAATGAATAATTCAGTAGATAAGTTTAAGTTGTAAATTACATAATAGTCTTTACTTATTCTCGTAGTTGATAAATGTATTCAATTGGACGTGAGAATTGTAGAACATAACGTTTAATTTCTTAATAGCCTACCTTATCCGATTTGTGATTTCTTTTTCAACTGACTCGTATGAAGTATCGAAATTAATTTGTATCAAGATAAATGTCGTACTTACTAGACAAGTGGCGGAACATACATACGCACCGAACAACTATAAACTATCGAAAGTTGGTACAAATGTAAATTAATTAAATATAATTTTTTATTTATTTATTATAGTATATTATGTTTTATATTAATTTACAAATAAACGCCGTGAGAA